CTGCTGAGTCTTTGGGGAACGTCAGATAGGGTAGACTGGGATAAGGTTGGGGTCTGGTAACATGCTTCCAGGTGAAGTCTCAGAGAAAGAAAGCAATTCTTACAGACAAGTCTTCCATTCCAGCATGGCTCTGCAGCAGCAAAGGATAAAAGGCAACAGAGTGGTCTCTGCAGAAAAAATCTGCAGCAGGGCTCCCACAGGGCTGTAGCCAAGCAGATGTCAGAGTCAAAACTCCCCATTCTCTTGAGCTGTGTGTATAGGAGTGGCCTTTTGCATCTATCATTTTTTTTTTAAACACAGAAAAGTTGTAACTGCAGGGGCAGCAGGTGGCATAGCGGTTAATGTGCTCGACTTCCACTTGGTTGACCATAGTTTGAGTACCTGACCTGGTGATTTGAAACTCACACTGGGCGCATGTGCGTGCATGTCCATTTCCAAGAGGAGAATGGATTGTCACATGGCCATCCCCCTGGGTGGGTTATTTCTCACTTTCTGTCTCTCTGGCAAGCACACATACTCTACAGCACAAATCTCTCTCTCTCTCTCTCTCTCATATATATATATATATATATATATATATATATATATACACACACACATATACATACACACACACACACACATATATATATATATATATACATATATATATAAAACTGCTTGAATTGTGAAACACTATATTCTGATTTTTTTTCTTTCTCATATCTAGATGTCAAGTGGTCCCAAAACATCTAAAATCATCTGTGTGATCTTCAAAATCAGCAACTTGAGAGTAATAGGAAGCAGATATCTCAGCCATAGATGCCATGCTATTGTAGTATGTCCCAAGGTTCAAATAATATGCCCCATTGGAAGCCTCCATGAATGGGAGCTGACAGGCAGGGCTGCCATCAGCTGTTACTCACCAGGAAGGCCCTTTCAGTTCTGTTGTTCGGTATCTGTTATGATTGGTTTGTGTCTAAAACTATTTCTTGTTAATTTTTTTTGAGCATCATACCTACTGATGCCCTTGGCCTGATGCCTACTGCATGATGCCAGGAATATTTGGAAGCCTCTTTCACCTTGGATCATCCCATGAGGATAACAAAAAAAGAGGGGAAAGGAACATCCTGAAATGACTGGTGACTCTCTCAAGCAGACTAGAACAAATAACAAGTGACTAAATTTACCTTGACTGTTTTTCATGATCAATTTGTGAACTAATTAAGTTCACTGACAGTAAATTAAAGAGAGCTTCATTTTCAAAAACGGGTTAAACTCATATTTGCTACAATGTACATTACTGCATTTGAGTTTTCATTTCTCATTTCTCACCTCTAGATAGCAAATGTGTCCATAACCTCTAAAGCCATCAGATATTTGCTTGAGAGGTCTCAGGGAAAACATATTCTTCTATGATTTTAGGAAGTAAGAAGATGGGCTCATAATCTACCAAGATTGAGCCAGGAGGATATAGACAGTCTGAATAGGCCTATAACAAGCCAGGAGATTGAATCAGTAATAAATAACCTCCCAACAAAAAAAGCCTGGTTGTGATGGCTTCACCTCTGAATTTTACAAAACTTAAAGAAGAGTTAACCTCCATTTTGCTCAAGTTACTTATAAAGACCCAAAAGGGTGAATCTCTCCCTAATTCATTCTATGAAGCCTCCATTACCCTTATCCTTAAAACAGATAAGGACAGGGCAAGGAAGGAAAACTATAGACCAATATCTCTGAAGAATATAGATGCAAAGATTCTCAACAAGATATTAGCAAATCATATCCATCATGACCAGGCAGGCTTTATTTCAGGAAAGCAAGGTTGGTTCAACATATGCAAAACCATAAATGTAATACAGCATATTAATATAAAGAAAGATAAAAGCCATATGATCATATCAATTGATGCATAAAAAGCATTTCTAAGATACAACATCCCTTCATGATCCAGACTGTCAGCAAAATTGGCATAGAAGAGTCATTTCTCAACACAATAAAAGCTATCTATGAAAAACCCATAGTGAACATCAACCTAAATGGAGAAAAGCTGAAAGCTTTTCCACTACAAACTGGTACAATAAAAGGATTCCCATTTTCTTCACTATTTTTTAGTAGAGTACTGGAAGTCCTTGCCAACACAATCATAAAAGAGAATAAAATAAAAGGCATTCGAATAGGAAAAGAAGAGGTGAAACTCTCTTTGCAGATGACATGATTGTATACATAGAAGACCCAATGGTATCCATGAAAAAATTCCTGGAAATAATACATGAATACAGTAAAGTTTCAGGATACAAAATCAACATACTGAAATCTATAGCATTTCTATATATGAAGAGCAGGCAGACTTAGATATAACTGAAAAAAGTAATTCCATTTACCATGGCCACAAAAAGTATAAGATACCTAGGAATAAATCTAACCAAAGAAATTAAACACCTCCACAAGGAAGACTATGAAAAGCTAAAAAAAGAAATTGAAAATGACACAAAAAAGTGGAAGGACATCCCATGTTTCCAGATTGGAAGAATTAATATAATCAAAATGGCAATTCTACCCAAATTAATCTACATATTTAATGCAATCCCAATAAAAGTACCAGAAACATTCTTCACAGATCTAGAAAAGACAATTATAAAATTTTTCTGAAGTCATAAAAGACCTTGTATTGCCAAAGCAATCCTGCACAAGAGTGGAGTGGGTGACATATCACTACCTAACCCAAAAATATACTACAAAGGTGTGGTAATCAAAACAGCATAGTATTGGCACATAAACAGACAGGTGGACCAATGGAATAGAATAGAGTTCCCAGAAGTAAACTCCCAAACATACAGCCAACTGGTTTTGACAAATGGTGCCAATCAGTCCAGTAGGAAAAGGAAAACCTCTTTAGCAAATTGTGCAGGAAAAACTGGATATCCACTTCCAGAAAGATGAATCTGAACCCCTACCTCTCACAACTGACAAAAACCAACTCAAAGTGGATCAAAGATCTAAACCTAAGACCCCAAACTATAAAACTGCTCCTGGATAATACCAGGGAAACTCTAGGAGACACAGGGAGAAGGCAAAGTCTTCTTAAATAAGACCTCCAAAACACAGTCAATAATCCCCAAAATAGACAAATGGGATTATATCAGATTAAGAAGTTTCTGCATGGCAAAAGACACAGTAATTAGTGTGAATAGACAGTCCTCAGAATGGGAAAATATTTTTATAAACTATGTGTCAGATAAGGGACTTATAACTGGAATATACAAGGAACTCAAGCAGCTGTCCCAAAAAAAGATGATTAATCCTATTAAAAGATGGGAGAATGAGTTGGGGGAAAAAAACCCTCTAAGGGTGACATATGAAGCCAAAAGGCATATAGAAAAATGCTCAACATCTCTCACTGTAAGGAAGATGCAGATCAAAAACTACAATGATGTACCACCTAACTCCAGTCAGAATGACTAAGATTAATAAAACAAAAAATGGTAAGTGCTGATTGGGGATGTGGGGAAAGAGGAACACTCTTACACTGCTGGTGGGAATGTAAATTGGTTCAGTCACTGTGGAAAACAATTTGGAGATTCCTCAAAGATCTACAAATAGAACTACCATACAACCCAGCAGTCTTACTTCTTGGTATCTAACCAAAGGATAGAAGAATTCTTAATTAGAAAAGTGCTTGCATATTGATGTTTATTGTGGCATTATTCACAATTGCTAAGACATGAAACCAAGTCAAATGCCCACGAACAGATGAACGAATTGAAAAACTGTGGCACATATACTCCATGGAATACTACTTAGCAATAAAAAAAATGACAAGACCTTGGCTTTTGACAGAAAGTGGATGAATATAGAAGATTTACTGCTGAGTGAAGCAAGCCAGGCTATGAAGAAGAGACATCCTATGTCTCCACTTACTATATATCGAGCTTCTGCACTCTATGACCGAAACTGAATAACTAAAGGAAATAGAAACATAGTAAATGGTTGTGAATACCAGATACAGTGTAGGAAGAGGCTGGATGAAGGAGTAGAGTCTGAGGAAGGACATTAAGGAGAAAAATAGAGAGGCAAAGCATTTATGGAACAAAGAAATGTGTTATTATCTGTTGAAGATAACTTTATAGTATGGTCAACTGGACTGGTGAGAAATGTACACATGGTGAAATATTCACTTTGCAAGTTAAATAATGTGATTGAATGTATAAAGTAAATTTAAATAATAAAAAATTTTTAAAAGTATTCTCAAAGAAGAAAAGAAGAAGAAGAAGAAGGGCTCAGTGGTGGTGTATTACTGCAGTAGGGTCTGACTCACAAGCCAGCGCAGTGGAAATTTACTTTTTTTACTTTTCCAGAGATTGAGAAAATCTGTCAAGCAAGCCAATGAAAGATAAGAGACTCAATAGTATGTTTCCTGTACATGATTTAAAATCAGAAGAGCTTGATTTCAAATAGAAAAGGCAGCAAATGAAAGAGTAAAAACCAAAACAGAAATACTAGAAAGAAAATGAACTGATGTTCATAGCTCATCATAGTTAGTCAAAGGGACTTAAATATTCTTCTAAGGAAGTGATTTATGTGTGTGGGAATGAATTTTAACAGTTTTAAGAAATAAATATATTGAGAGAAGAAGACTCCTCTATTGCAGCTGAGAACTAGTGCTTTCAGGACTAAGAGAAATGAAGACTTTCTACTAATAATTCAGCCTCCAGCCCCAGTCTCAAGTGGTGGGTTGCTCCTTGTATCCTTCTTTCTGTTTCTCTCTGCCTCTCCCTGTCTTCTCATGTTTTTGGTTAATTTTTTTTTTTTTATTTTGAAGGTAAAGTATTTTCTTGGCTTTTAGATCCTCCTTTATCTTGCTAATAATCCCCTTTCCCCCCACTCCCATTTAGGATAGGCAAGGAGCAGGCCTTCAGAAGAAGACTTCTCCATTGCAGCTGTGAACTAATGCTTTTGCAAGTTGCATATGCTGCACAGTTTTCATATTTTTGCTTTTTAAAAAATAAATAAAGTTTTGGTTGTTTTTTCTTTTTTTCTCTTTTTCTTTTTCTTTTTCTCTCTCTCTTTCTCTTTTCCCCCTTTTTGTCTCTTTTCTTTTCCTTTTTCTTTTACTTCATCACTTTGCTGCTCAGCCTCCATTCACTGAATGTCTATACAGATCTAAGGGAACCATCCCAAACATCTGAGTACTAGTAGGATCAACAAATTCCTTAATATCCACTGAATCTGCTCCACAAAGGGATAAAAGTGGTAGGGCAAAGAGAGTGTAGATCACCTCCTCCTGCATGCCCCTGAACGCTCAAATTGAACTTCTAGAAATTAAGAAAAAACGTATCAGATGACCAGAAATCACCACAAAGGCACAAGAAATGTAAGAAGCCAAGATAAAACCTCTCCCCCAAGGGAAAAGAACAACTCCTCTTCATTCACAGACAGAACAATGGAATTAATGGAAATGTCTGATAAAGAATTTAGAATATTCATAATAACAAAGCTAACAGAGACGCAAGAGAAGAGAGACAATGAACTCCAGAAGAGACAGGAGAATAGAGCCAAGAGGAGTTTCCAGGAGGTGAGGAAGTTCTTGCACAGCCTAAAAGAGGAAATTCACATCATAAAAATGAATCAACAGAACTGATAGAGATGAAAGGCGTAATACAGGAAATCAAAACCTCCCTTGAAAGTATTAAAAGCAGACTAGATCATACAGAAGTTCGACTCTCCAATGTAGAAGACAGAATCACTGGCCTAGAAAAATCCACCACAAAGACTGAGAAAATAGTAAAAACAACAAAAAAATGAGAACAATATACAAGAAATACTAGATATCATTAAACGTCCAAACATCCAGATAATCGGTATCACAGAAGGTGAAGAGACTAATAAAGGCATTGATAATCTATTCCATGAAATCCTAGAAGAAAACTTTCCAAACCTAGAGAGGCATTCAAAGATCCAGACCCAAGAAATACAAAAGACCCCAAATAGAATCAACTCAAGAAGATTTTCTCCAAGACACATTATAGCCAGATTGACCAAAACCACAAAGACAAGATTCTAAGCCTGGCAAAAAAAAAAAAAAAAAAAAAAAAACAAAAAAAAAATCACCTACAAAGATATCCTACCAGACTAACAGTGGACCTCTCATCAGAAACAATACGAGCCAGGAAAGAATGAGAGAATATATTCAAAGTGTTGAGTGAAAAACAATTTCAACCAAGAATACTATA